CCCGAGTCTCACCACTGAACTTAGTCACTTACACTCCAAGTATTATGTCTTGGTCCTGCTCAACTTGAAACCTTTAGATTCCAGGGTCTGCCTCCATACCTCTAACTGCGCGTTCGCACCGCTTCGCATTTCGTCAATCAATACAATATCATCTGCAAATAGCATGCACCACGACACCTCCCCTTGGATATGGCGCGTCAGTACGTCCATCACTGGGGCAAACAAAAAAGGGCTGAGTGCCGACCCCTGATGCAACCCCATCATAACCGGAAAATGGTCTGAGTCCCTACCCACCGTCTTCACTTAGGTCTTTGCTCCATCATACTTGTCTTTAATCACCCTAATGTAGGCAACAAGTACACCTCTAGCCTCCAAACATCTCCACAAAACCTCCCTTGAAACTTTATTGTACGCCTTTTCTAAGTCGAACATCATATGCAAGTCCTTCCTCTCCCTATACTGCTCCATCAATCTGCTAACAAGGTGGATGACTTCAGTAGTCGAACGCCCCGTCATGAACCCGAACTGGTTCTCGGAAATAGACACACTCCTCCTTACCCTTAGCTTTACTACTCTCTCCCAGATTTTCATAGTATGGCTAAGCAGCTTGATACCCTGATAGTTATTGCAATATTGGATATCACCCTTGTTTTTGTATACAGGAACCATCATGCTCCACCTCCACTCTTCGGGCATCTTCTTCGTTCTAAAAATGACATTAAATAACCTAGTGAGCCACTCCAAGCCTGCCTTGCCCGCACTTTTCCAAAACTCCACCGGGATTTCATCCGGCCTGGTCGTTTTGCCCCTGCTCATCTCACGCATAGCCCTCTCCACTTCATCAACTCTAATCCGCCTACAATACCCGAAGTCACGACGACTCCCACAGGGTTCCAAATCACCCAGTACAATGCTCCTGTCCCCCTCCTCGTTCAAGAGACTATGGAAGTAGGTCTGCCATCCTGGACGGATAAGCCCCCTATCCAACAGAACTCTACCTTCTTCGTCCTTGATGCACTTCACTTGGTCCAAGTCACGAGTCTTCCTTTCTCGCGCCTAGGTTAACCTGAACAACCTCTTATCCCCGCCTCGGCCTTCGAGTTCCTCATACAACGACTAAAAGCTGCAGTCTTGGCTGCCGTAACTGCTAGCTTTGCCTCTTTCTTAGCCAACTTATATTGCTCCCTATTCCCCTTCTTCTCCTCCTCGTCTACACTTTCCACTAGCTTCAGATACGCTGCTTTCTTGGTTTCCACTTTTCCTTGCACCTCTCCATTCCACCACTAGTCTCCCTTGTGATCACCGGGGTAACCCTTTCAGAGACCCCCTAATACCTCTCTCGCGGCTTCCCTAATGCACTGTGCAGTCGTGGTCCACATAGCGCTGGCGTCCCCACTACTACTCCAAGCCCCCATAGTCAGCAACTTGACCTCCAACTCCTGCGCTTTAGGTTCTGCCTATGAAGGGTCGCGAGGTTCTCACTCGGGATGACCTTGCAATCCGTGCAAAGACCTCTATCAGACTTCCTGCAGAGTAAATAATCAATTTGAGTCTCGGCCACCGAACTCCGGAAGGTGACCAAGTGCTCCTTCTTCTTTAGGAAACTCGAGTTTGCTATCACCAAATCAAATGCTCTAGAAAAGTCCAGAGACGTTCCTCCTCCATTTCTATCTCCAAAATCAAAGCCACCATGCACATCATCATACCCCAAGACGTCGCTCCAATCTGGCCGTTGAAATCCCCTCCTATGAAAAGCTTCTCGATATGCGGGATACCACACACCATCTCATCCAAATCCTCCTAGAAACGTCTCTTGACTTCCTCATCCAAGCCTGCTTGGGGTGCGTACGCATTGATTTTGTTCAAAGTAAAACCTCCAACAACTAGCTTAATAGTCATCAACCTGTCATTCACCCTCCTAACCTCCACCACTAGTTCACGGAGGTCCTTATCAACCAAGATACATACCCATAGTTTGAACTTGTCCACATCTCGCACCTTATCTTCTACCCACCTAGTCTCCTGTACACAAGCTATATTAATCTTCCTTTTCTCGAGATCTTCGCTAACTCTACAGATTTTGCAGTCAAAGTTCCTATGTTCCAAGACCCCACTCTCAGCCTAGCAACTCCCTTAGCCCTCTTACCCCCACACCCCCTCCCCGGCGATGACACCCCCGAGGTCAAGACCTTACCCTACCATCGTTCACCAAAGCTACTATAATCTAGGAGTCACTACGCAAGCACTATCTCGAAAACAAGCGACAAAAATAAAATGAATAACCAAAATATAATCTACCACTAAAGGTCGCAAAACAGGTGAAGAACTAAAATAAAGGAACTAAAGGAAACTATAATCTACAACTAAAGGTTAGAAAAACAGGTGAAGAAATAAAATAAAGGAACTAAAGGGAACTATAATCTACAACTAAAGGTTAGAAAAACAGGTGAAGAAATAAAATAAAGGAACTAAAGGGAACTATAATCTACAACTAAAGGTTAGAAAAACAGGTGAAGAAATACAATAAAAGAGCTAAAGGGGACTATAATCTATAACTAAAGGTCAAAAAGAAAATGTGCAAACCTAGAGCAGAACTACTAGGGGATATATTAAATAAAAATTCAAAATAAAGATGTAAACAGATAGATAACAATATAAACAAGTAGGCAAGCTATCACTAATGCAATTAATTTGACAATAATAGGGTAAATACTAATTAAAGATTCAAGAATAACTTTAGACACCAAAGTAATTCTCAAGGAGCAAAATGCGAAAACCTTTTTTCATCTTGCCTTGTGAACAATGCTCCTCTGTTTATATCACGTTCAGCTCTCCAAGTTCAATATGTTCGGAGATCCAATAATTTTTCTCGGCGGACCTTCTTGCAGACCTTTAAACTGTCATCCAGATGTGGTAGAATGCTACTCCTTTTGTCCCAATTTATGTGATACTCTTTCCTTTTAAGCCTGTCCCGAAAAGAATTACACCTTTTTATATTTATAAAAATTCAACTTTAAATTTTCCTTTTTACCCTTAGTGAGATGATTTCTAGCCACATAAATTTTTAAATTTATTTTAGACCACAAGTTTCAAAAGTCTTCCTTTATTTCTTAAACTTCGTTTCAGTCAAACACCTTCACATTAATTGAACGGAGAGAGTATATGAAATAAAAACTACTTGACAAGTTTCTTTTTATCTGATATGTTGCGACTATAATGTAACTCCTGCATAGTATGTTTTGGTCACTGATTCTCTTTCTGATTGCTGTCCTCGTCTGATTTCTAGCCGCACAAGTTTCTATGATTTGTGTTAGACCACAACTTTCAAAAGTCTTCCTTTATTTCTGAAACTCCGTGCCCAGTTAAACACCTTCACATTAATTGGGACGGAGGGAGTATATGAAATAAAAACTACTTGACAAGTTTCTCTTAGTCTGATATGCTGGACTATAATGTAACTCCTGCATAGTATGTTTTGGTTCCTGATTCTCTTTCTGATTGCTGAAGGCTGCACCATCAGCAAATGCAAGTCGGCGAAGGCAGGCATTGTCAGAATCAGACGAGGATGAGCCATTGCCGAGGCAGGGAAGTGATGGAGAAGGCGGAGGCGATGCTACTGTTGATGATGATGAGTGAAGATGAAATACCATTACAACTCCTAATTTGCTGGATGTCAAGATTACCAACATTCATTCCCTTTATGCCAAACACACTGGGATTTCTATTGGCTCTTTCTTGGCCTGCCTGCTTTGTTGTTTTTGCTTCCTGGGCTAGTCTAGCCTGAGTTCCTTGTAGGAAGAAAAGGTAGCTGTAGCTCAAGTCATAGAAGAACAGATGATGTACTGTAAATGCATAATGTTTATAGAGAAATGTTTCAGATGAGTTAACTTTTTTGCCAAATCCAAATCGACCTTGAACTCCTATAGAATTGATATAATGCTCTGTTATTCTTTCATATCCTAATTAAAGATTAGAACAGACTTGCTATTCAGAACATTATATTTGGATAAAAGAGCATATTTTGCATCAGGAGTTGGGAGTTCATTTATTTATCAAACAGACACTGACTGAAAAATCAGACAGCTTAGTTGATCTTTTCATGGTCCATTCACTAAGGTCTGGAGATGATCCATACGAGCTTGGTTAGGTCAATATCTATGCCATCACTACGTTTTTCTTTGTATAATTAACATTCTTTAATCACTTACTTTCCCTAGTTTTATTAGCATTTCTTTGTGACCACTTATCCTAGCTCGGCACTGATGAATATTATGAGTAATTGAGTTTTTTAACTAGTACAGAACTAAACTTGTTTCAAATGCTAATTCCTGTCAACAGGTTTTGACATCCTGTTTTTTTCCATTCCAAGTATTTGTGATCTTTCACAATCAACTGTTGGTGAGCATTTTAATCCATGTGGGCTGCTGCGAATTGTCATCTTCAGCACTAAGGTAACACTTCACCTTGATTCAACTAATCTGTAATGTTGCTATTTAAGGGAATTCAGTACTTTTTTCGCGACAAAGTAACAATAATTGATATTTTAATTTTTTATGACATACTTGGACTTTCAAACTATACGCGCAATTAATGTCAAGTAGAAGTCAGAAACGGTAGAAATGTGATAATTCCACACACTAGAAAGTAGCAAAAAAAACAGTGATTGTTGAAAGGGTGAATCTGTATTGGAAGATTTCTCACCAGATGGCATTAACTTCTGTAAAATAAGTGCTGCATTGAAGGAAGTAACTGACATTTATGCAGAAGCAGAAGCAGCCCTTCAATGTATATGTAAAAAGTACCTCCTTTTTCTGAATCCATGTAGAATCCACTCAGGTATGTCTTTTTTTTTTTCTTCTTTTTTCTGAATCCATGTACTACATACTGGCAAAACATAACAAAATTTATCATGTTACTAACATGATACAGAAAGAAAAAGAATTAACCTAAATAATTGCTTATCAAATTACTTAAATTAAAAATAATCAGCGGACGTAAATATATAAAAGACAAAGGGTGGCCCAAAAGCACGAAGTATTTCGTGCTTACGCAGCGTCCGAGAAAGTGCCGCATCCCAAGAGGGTGTGATGTAGACAGCCTACCATGATGCAAGCATCAGTAACTGATATTTAGCCGGTCACCCGAATTCATGCAGATGGCGTGGATAGTCCACACCATCTACATGCATCCGGGCGAACAAACCCAAATCGCCTTAAATTTTGCCGGCCCATCAAAAAAGACCTCAGGAGCAAAAGTTATCACTTCGCCATGACCGTTCCTCGTGTTTGGTGTTTAGGGCCATAAAATTGGAGTTTCGTCGATTCTCAAATTTTTGTATGCTATAACCCATTTCATTTGCATGCATCCGACGACCGAACCTGACTCGCCTGAAAATTTTCCGGCCAATCAAAAACGATCTAAGGAACAATAGTCATCGCTTTGCCATCACCGTTCCTAGTTTTTTGACATTTTAGGGCTAAAAAATTGGAATTTTGCCCGATTCCTAGATTTTCATGTGCTATAGCCCACGCCATCTGCATGCATCGTGATCGGACCCGAATCATCTAAAATTTTACCGGCCCATCAAAAACGACCCAAGAAACATTAATCATTGCTTTGCCATGACCGTTCCTCATTTTTTTGTGTGGTTTTTTAGGGTCATAAAACTGGAATTTTGCCCGATTTTCAGATTTTTTTTGTTGTAGCCCGCGCCATCTGCATGATGGGGGCGACCAGACTAGATCGTCTAAAATTTTGCGGCCCATAAAAATAATCGAAGAAACAATAGTCATCACTTCGCCGTAACTGTTCCTCATTTTTTTTGGTGTTTTAGGGCCATAAAACTAGAATTCCGCTCGATTTTTAGATTTTTGTATGCTGTAGCCCACAGCCATCGGCAAGCATCCGGTTGACCGAACCAAAATCGCCTAAAATTTTGTGGCCCATAAAAATGACATAAGGAACAATAGTCATCCCTTAGCCATGACCGTTCCTCGTTTTTTGACGTTTTAGGGCCATAAAATTGAAATACCGTTCGTTTCCCAAATTTTGGGGTTCTATAGCCCATGCCATCTGCAAGCATCGGGGCGACCAGACCCGAATTGTTTAAAATTTTGGCGGCCCATAAAAAAGATCCAAGAAACAATAGTCATCGCTTCGCCATGACCATTCCTCATTTTTTTAGTGTTTTAGGGCCGTAAAACTAGAATTACGCCCGATTTCTGGATTTTCATCTGCTGTAGCCCATGCCATCTGCATGCATCCGGGCGACCGGACCTGAATTGCCTAAAATTTTTGCGGCACTTAAAATATACATAAGGAACTATAGTCATTGCTTCGCCATAACCGTTCCTCATTTTTGACATTTTAGGGCCATAAAACTGAAATACCTCCCGAGTCTTAGATTTTCCTATGCTATAGCCCATGCCATATGTATGCATCGGGGCGACCAGAACCGAATCGCCTAAAATTTCGGTCGGCCCATAAAAAACGGCTTAAGGAATAATATTCATCGGTTCTCCATGGCCGTTCCTTATCTTTTTAGCGTTTTAGGGCCACAATTGGAATTCTGCCTGATTCCCAGATTTTCATGTGGTATTGCTCACTCCATCTACATGCATCCAGGCGACCAGACCCGAATCGCCTAAAATTTTGCCTACCTATAAAAAAACGACCTAAGGAATAATAGCCATCACTTTGCCATGATCGTTCCTCATTTTTTGGCGTTTTATGGTTATAAAACTAGAATTCCGCCCCATTCTCAGATTTTGGTGTGCTATAGCCCACGCCATCTACATACTCTGGATGAATTGACCCGATTCACCTAAAATATCGTCGGTAATAAAAAATGATTTAAGGAACAATAGTCATCGCTTTGTCATGTCTGTTCCTCATTTTTTGGCGTTTTAGGGCCATAAAGTTGGAATTCCACCAAATTCCTAAATTTTCGTGTGTTATAACCCATGCCATTAATATGCGTCCGAATGATCGGACCCGAATCGTCTAAAATTTTGCTGGCCCATAAAAAATGACATAAGGAACAATAGTCATCAATTCGCCATGACCGTTCCTCGTTTTATGGCGTTTTAGGGCTATAAAACTGGAATTCTGCCCGATTTTCAAAATTTTCGTGTGCTATAGCCCACGCCATCTGATCGGATCCGAATTGCCTAAAATTTTGTCAGTCCGTCAAAAATGACCTAAGGAATAATGATTATCATTTCGCTATGATCGTTCCTCGTTTCTTGGCATTTTAGGGCAATAAAAATGGAATTTCGTTCGATTCCTAGATTTTCGTATGCTATAGCCGCGCTATCTGCGTGCATCGGGGTGATCGAACCCGAATCACAAATAATTTTGTCGGCCCATAAAAAACGACCCAAGAAACAATAGTCATTGCTTCGCCATGACTGTTCCTCATTTTTTTGGTGTTTTAGGTCCATAATACTGGAATTCTGTCCGATTTCCAGATTTTTATGTGCTTTAGCCCGCCCCATCTACATGCATCCGGGCGAACGGATCCAAATTGCCTAAAATTTTACGGCTCAATAAAAATGACCTAAGGAACAATAGTCATCGATTCGCCACATCGTTCCTCATTTTTTTGACGTTTTAGGGCCATAAAATCCAAATACCGCTCGATATCCATATTTTTGTATGCTATAGCCCATGCCATCTGCATGTATCCAAGCGACCGGACCCGAATCGCCTAAAATTTTGGTCGGCCCATAAAACTGACCTAAGGAACAATGGTCATCACTTCGCTATGATCGTTCCTCATTTCTTGGTATTTTAGGGTCATAAAACTGGAATTTCGCCTAATTCCCAGATTTTCGTATGCTGTAGCCTGCACCATCTGCATGCATCTAGGTGACCAGACCTGAATTGCCTAAAATTTTGCAGCCCATAAAAATGATTTTAAGGAACAATAGTCATCGCTTCGCTATGACCGTTCCTCATTTTTGACGTTTTAGAGCCATAAAACTGAAATACCGCCCGGTGCCCAGATTTTCATGTGCTATAGTCCACCCCATCTGCATGCATCCGAGCAACCAGACCCGAATCACCTAAAATTTCGGTCGGCCCATCAAAACGACCTAAGGAACAATAGTCATCACTTCGCCATAAGCGTTCCTCTTTTTTTTTTTTTTTTTTTTTTTTTAGCGTTTTAAGGTTATAAAACTAAATTATGCCTGATTCCCAGATTTTATGTGGTATAGCCCACACCATCAGCATGCATCCAAGCAACCGGACCCGAATCACTTCGCAATGATCGTTCCTCATTTTTTCTTTTGTGTTTTATGACAATAAAACTAGAATTCTGCCCGATTCTCAAATTTTGATTTGCTATAGCCCCAACCATCTGCATGCATCCGGACGACTTGACCCGATTCGCCTAAAATTTTTTCGATAATAAAAAACGAGCTAAGAAACAGTAGTCATCGCTTTGCCATGTCTATTCCTCTTTTTTTGGCATTTTAGGGCGATAAAGTTGGAATTTCGCCAGATTTCAAATTTCTGTGTATTATAGCCCACGCCATCTGCATGCATCCGGCCGACCAGACCTGAATCGCCTAAAATTTCGGCCGGCCCAAAAAATGGCCTTAGGAACAGTAGTCATCGTTTTGCCATGACCATTCCTCATTTTTAGCATTTTAGTATCATAAAATTGGAATTCTGCCCGATTCCAAACTTTTTGTGTTGTATAGCCCACGCCATCAGCATGCATCCAGGCGACCGGACCCGAATCGCCTAAAATTTTTCGGCCTATCAAAAAATGACCTAAGGGACAATAGCAATCACTTCGCCATGATCGTTCCTCATTTTTGGCGTTTTATTGCCATAAAACTAATATTTTGTCCGATTTCTAGATTTTGATGTGTTGTAGTCCACACTATCTGCATGCATCAGGATGACCTGACGCGATTCTTCTAAAATTTTGCCGGTAATAAAAAA